TGGGAAATCAAAGAAGAGGTCAAACCCGGATACCTAAAAGGCTCACTGCAAGCTGTTCCCCCATTCCTGCAAAAGTATGTTCGGAAAGAGATGCCAGAAACTCATAGATTCGGCTTGGTTTTGGACAAAAACAAACAGTGAAAAGCACGAGATCGATTTCTAGGATGAGCACAGACTGGGGAACAACCTTTGCACTGAGGTGTTCATCCTATGGATCATCTTCGTGCTGCAAATGCCACTGACAGATGCACTGCACACGGCCTACGTGGGCAACTCGATTCGAATAATGAAAATTCACGCGCTCACACGCTGCTTGAAGTCGGGGACCCACTGATAGGCTGCTTGAAAAGGACAACCAGCTAGCTAGTGATGCTGTTGCGCTGCGTATCATCGATGCTTGTTGGTTCGTATTGCATACTGAGCCACGTGCCAGCAACTTTGTTCATTTGCACGTTTGTAGATGCTCAGACTTGTGTTTCAAGTCTATGAGTTTGCATGAGCAGCTGGCATGAATCGGAAGAGCATGTTTTCCCCACAGGTGCATCATCGATCGCAAGATCTGGAACCCTTGCTTCATTCTTTGTGGTCGATGTTTGACGGGCTACTGGCAAGTGAGGTTGGGCCATCAAACTGCTACCCTTAACATGCCTGTGTGTGGGCTCCACGTGGTTTCCCTTCAACCCAGCCCCACAAAGGTTCCCAAAAACAACCAGCTGCGTCCCTTGTGCGTCGCTTTTTCCGTCGAGGCAGCATCGTGATCACGGCGGTGTGCGTACGCCAGCAGCGGGACCTGGAGGAACTCGAACGGAGGAGCTTCGATAACCAGCTGCTAAACACCCGAGGCCGACGAGTTGCCATTGGCTTCACTCGCCAAACCCAACGATACATTTGCGCCTTTCGAGGCTTCGCAAGTACGGCGAGTTCTTGATGTTGTCCCTGAAGCGGAAAAAGAAAAACCAATGCCGAAGTCAGCTGTACCCTCGTGGGATTTCCATCCACTCGCTTGGACCACTGAAAGTGGTGCTTTGAATTGCGTGAGTGCGCTAGTTTCGGTTGTGTTCCGATGATTGGCAGTGCCATCTTTCCAAGGTGAACAAGCATCGGCAAAAAGCGTTGGACCAATTTGCCCGAAAGAAGTGGTGCGTGTTTCTCAGGGAATTCTGTTTTTCAGGTTCGAACGAGCATAGGATTGGATGGCCCTATCCTGGTCGCCAGGCTTAGTGCTGCGCACCGCGGAGCAGATCTCAAGGCAGAGCACCCACCAAGAGCCGGACACCCAGCTGGCGATTTGGCTCTAGACACGTTTATGTGTTTGGTTGAAATATGGGTGTCCAATTGAAACCTCAAGAAATGAACACAACTTCACTTTAACTTGTTGGGAAAACAAGTTGGTTTTGCAATTGAACCCAGACAATGTGAAATCAACTTTTTTGCAGAGGGTCTCGCAAGCAGTCAAGAACGAAAGCGCGCAAAAGATGAGAAGTTGTTTGCACCTGTTGAGAAACGCAATCCCCAGAAATTCCGCGGGTCAGTTTCTTGAGGATACCGAGGTTTTGAAATGGGGATGAACCCCAAAGAAGGGTCCCCTGTGTGTGTTTTGCTTTTTGAGGATGCCTTGGGGAAACCCTGATAATGAAATGAAGCCCATTAGAATGGCGGCAGAATCCCCAAATTAACGAGATGTCCTTGTGGTCAATATTCATAGCATGACGTAGTGACAAAGATGACATGGAGCATATTCCCCAAATACCCAGGAGAACATGGAGGTTGCTGTCTAAACTCTGGCTGATTCAACCCCCACCCTGCAAGCAATGCGTGTCAGTGAACTGAATGTCGGTGCCCTCAATGTCGCATGGAATGCAGGACAAGCTGAAATGGGCATCTCTTGGATGAATACGCATGTCCTTTGCACCGGTGGGGGGGGGGGGTGATGGCAACTTGCCAATGTTGCAGTTGAACAATGATTGCCATCTTTTCCTAAGCAAGAGCAATTGGCTAGCTTTATCCATTGAACAACTTGGGCTCTGGTGTTTCATTTCCGGTCAGCACTTGGTTAAGGGCACATTTCAGCAAGAAGACGTGCCTTTGCCAAACGAAGTAGGTGCTTCTTCCCCTCGCACCGAGGTTCATGTCTCACCTAGTGATGCTGGAAAAGTCTCGCCGCCGAGAATCCATCAACTTTTGAACGAAAAAGCAGCGCGCCGCAACACGGAAGCTGACCAGAAGGCAAACGTTTTCAGCTTTTGCAGGTGGTGTGAACCTTGCAGCACTTGCAGCACCCTGGGTAGAGCCACAGCTGCCCGAAATGGGACCGCTTTATTCTGGCAGCATAAGCTCTTTAAGCGCCACTGCTGTTGAATTTGAGCCCGAAGACTTTGAACTTTTTTGTACCAGATCTTCTCGCTATCACATACAGCTGCCATGGAGAGAGAACTGTTCTCAAACCAGACTGGCAACTTGGAGTTTACACCCTGTCTATTTGTGGGGGTTTCCAGTAGATATTAGAGAAGCCCACTCTTTGGGGAGGCGTCTCCTTGCCTCCAGCTCCTTGCCTCCAGAGACTTGAAAGAGACGTGTGCCAACAGGGTAGTCTATATCCTACCACGCTGATTTTAGGGATATATATGATAATATATATATATATATGTAAAAGGAAAAAATGGAATACTCTTCGAAAATTATGTGCAGATGGGGCCGCCAGGCGGAGTCTGAGGTCGTGCGACAAGCCCCTCAGTCGACCACTTAACATTTGGGGGTAATCTGCAGGCCACTCTTGCAATTAGGAGACCAACAGACAATCAGTTGTACTTGCATACGGGCCGTGAATAGCACAAACTACTCCAAACGCCTGTGTAGGTTGCAATCGTGTAGAGCCACAGCTGCCAGTGAATGACGTAAACGCAATCCAGTGCTGAATTATTCTCGACCTAGCCTCAATCCGCTCTACAACATGATAGATGGGCAACGACCTCCAGTGAGTATTTGCTTATTTGCATCTGGCAGAGGGTTGCAATCCATGAAAACCTCTGAAGTTTCTTGTTAGATACGAAGGTCCAATGGAAGATAGGACAGAGACACACACCAACAATGGCGCATGCTGCCACACAAGGCCACCACATTCGCCTGGTGTGGCTCGAACCAGGCAAAACACACGGCAACTCGCCAGTCATGCGTCATGCTGGAGTCTTTCATTTGCTTTGTGGTTGTTCAGTATGTCTCTGATTCCTTCTGCGCGTGCGAAACGTTCTGGTACACTACAGTCGAAAGGTGGTCTAGTGTCAAGTATAAGTCACATAGAATAAGCTTGGTATGTATTGTAACAAATTATCAGAAATACAGCTGAGCATGTGTTACATGGCACATGTGTATATATATATATATATATATATATATATATCGACACGCAAAAACCCGCGGAACCGGCTGATCCCCGGTGCATGAGCGATCCAGGGTGCAAGTTCAAACAAGTTTATCACAGTCGTACCACGAGAAGCCCCAGTAGATCGAGTCAAAATTTGTTTCAATTCTCGCAAGGACGCCCATGGAAAGAGTGAAAGGCAAGAGAACTCAGCGTAAAGGGCAACATGACAGATATGGCGCATTTCATGTGAGTAACTTGCAAATGTGTTGTTCCTTCCTTGAGAGTATAGTGCTGGAGCACTTTGCTTCAAGCACCATTACCATGATGTCCCATCTCTATGTGTTTTTGCAGAGCAAGGGAAGATCTCGTGTCCTTTGGCAACCTCCCAAGCTGTTGCGAGGAGACCGCTGGACGTGATTGATTCGCAAGGCGTGATTCGCCTTTTCAGGTTTTGGATTGGAAGTATGCGCAAGGAGGCAAACAAGATGCTATCACCTTTGTTTGCGGTCTATCCAATGCACGTTAGACATTGTCTCTAACATGTATGCCAACCCATCAAATGTTGCCCCTCGTCACCTATTGTGAACGTCATATAGAGCATGGACAGGCAGCTTGACGTGCAATGACATGCGCAGCTGGATAGCATTGCCCAGATGTTGCCTCTTGAAATTGACCCCGTTCACAGGAGCAAGAGAGAACAGTGCCAAATAACAAACTACAGGCAAGGTAGCACATTGAATCTGTTCAAGATGTGCAGGCAACATAACGAGAGCAAAAAAGCGTGTCGGGAAGAAAAATGAATAGTAAACATCCAACACAGACTCTTTTGCGAGGGTGACATTGGCGTCAAAGACATTTTTTTGTGAGTATTCACAGAAGGAGCTCTTACGTCACGGAATCGTTCTTGGTAGTTGTGCCTTTCAACCGGAACGCCAAGACAATGAATGGCATACAACCCTCACATCTTGAAAGCCCTCCATAGTTCCCTGCCTGGCATTGATGCATCGTTCAACACACGATTCTTGAGCAGCTTATTGTTTGGAGTTGCATTGGTGGCAAGAAAGTGGCGTGGCGGCGTATTCGGCACATGTTTGGGGCTTAGGTTTCAACGGGAAGGAGATTGTCATTGCCTGGCAGGTTGAGATTCTTCACCCGCCCAAGGCGTGAGTGGGGGAATGTACGATGACTAATTCGAGATGCAGGCCCAACTGACTCGCGAGCTTGGAGCCGCGCGCCATAGACACTAACGATCGGGGTGTTCCTTTCTACGCATTAAAGTTCGAGTGTGCGACGTGGACATCTTGGCCATTGGCAGGTTGCCCAGTTGCAACCAATGTGCGAACATGCCAGGGTCATAGGGTTGATTTGGCCTGCGTCACTGTGGACTGGTTCCCACTAGCTTCAAACCCGAATCATTGGGCAGGCATTCTTTAGGCCCGTCTGACAACTCGCAAACCATAGCCAGAAAAGATGTGTGTAAAGCCATTTGGTTCCCCATTTATCTCCAAGTTTGGGGCTTCTCTTGTTCACTTGCAGTTCCATTCGATATTGAATAAGCGTTGCATGTAAGTGTGGCTTGCTCATTTGAGTTCCATCAGATGTTCGCATTCGCCGCATTTGTGTTGCCTCAGATGTTGGTCGAAGTCTGTGTGAAGCCCACCAGTCTACACACCATGGAGCCGGTATCCGTTTAGAAGATGGCTCGACTGCCAGCCCAGCACGCCGTTGACATGGCCATGATGAGTTGCTGTGTTCCATAGTGCCCTTTGAAGATGTTGTGCTTTAAGGGAAGCCTGCGAATCGATCGATATCCACAAAGGACAAGCAATGAGCACTGGAAGGCATTAAAGCGGTTCCGAAGAGCTCGCAATGCCGTGTCATGTTGGTCCATGTGTATCCCGTATTTTCAGCCTTTTGGTGTGTCATTCTGCCGTTTTGCCAGAATCTCGTGTGGTAATGTGCAATGTGGATCTGTGAGGGGTTGACTCAACACTTTTTGGGTCTGGATCCCTTCAAAAGGCACGACCGCAAGGCGAACGCATGCCTTGGATCCATAGTGTTGAACTGTTTCCAGTTGTGAAAGTCATAAGCTGCCTTTCCTTTCCTTTAAGCTTATCACCTGCGAGTGAAATTGGCAAAAAACAGGTCCGGTTATGGTTCCAAACTATGGAGAACTACTGGCTCCTGCCCATGTGTCCAATATTGTCATGTGCTTTGGGGATGTAAAACGAAAAAGATCCAACACAGGGTCCAGCTTTCGTACTGTTGTACGCTTTAAAGACGCGGTGGTGATCCACAATGGAAGTGATTGAAACTGTGTGGGAACGAGGCGCCGCGAAGCTTTCATGCAATTTTTTGAGGCGGGTGCCCCTTGTTCCACTTTCGTTCATCGCGTGTTCCAGTTGGGTGATTCCTTTGTTGTAGCCGTGCTGGACGTGGCCCTTGCACCGAGACAATGCACCGAACAGCAGTGGAAAGGAAATCACTCGTGCCCGATGTGCTTGCAGCTGAACCCATGTGTGAGAGAGGGGGTCACCCTGTTCTTCAAAGTCGTATCACACCAAGTGAAGCGAAATGCATAGCATCATTTTGTGTGTGAGGCCG